CTAAATCCACAACTATATTTAGTATACTCCACTAGCTAGTCCCATAGAAAGGTATCATGTAGGAAAAAATCTTATTTATGTATAAAAGAAATCTGGAGCAATACTCTCTGAAATGATAAAGATAGCAAGGTCATGTTGACAATGATCATTTTAACATATAAGTTTTACGTTACCAGGACCTAAAAAAATGTGTCTTGTTGAAACAGAACTGAATTTTTTTTGCTTACAAGAGGCTATTATGTTCAGGTACTACTCAAAAGTTATGGAAAGAATCAAAATTCCTGTTAGTATTGTTGTTATTTCTACTTACAGGAGACTATTATGTTCAGGTGCTAATCAATATGAACTCAGTATAGAGTATAAACTGAAGTCTGTATTCCAAACTAATTTTCAGGGTGTATGCTTTGTACAGCACATACCAAAATTCTATATTCCACTAACTAATAATAGTATACTTTAACTCTAAACTAAATTTCAAGGTGTATACTTGACATACCAAAATTCATTAGGTGGATTAATTATGTGTACAGAGCAAAACCTGTTATTTCAATGACAAAAGACCAAATTTTTTAAAGAAAATTATATATAGACACCAAATTTAGTGGCAAACATAGCCATACTCAGGCCGGGCAACTTTAGTCGTAGCCCTAAAGGAAAATACTAAACGAAATTGAATGAAGAGTAGTGAGTACTTCGGCCAAAATAGGGAAAATATTAAATTTCTAATCATATTATCTTCATATCCAAATTGTTTTTTATATCACAACATACAAATATGAGCTAAAAAACAAAAAGCCCGCAGACAATTCAACTGCCGACCCTCGAATCAGACTCAGAGTTAATCACCTCATCAGAAGCAATATGACTCGTTGATCCATTAATCGGCGCAATTGAGTCAAAGAGATCACCGCACACTTCATGTCACCCAGAAGTCCCAAATCCAAGCTCATAGTCTTACTGTGCAACAAAATAACAAGTTGAAAAGTAATACAAAAACTCAACATCATAAAAACAAACACAACAAAAAAATAGAAATTCTTCTCCGTCTTCTGGTAATAAAAAGCCATCCGCCATCCCGATCCCGCTACATGAGACTTTCCCTTCGGCGGGCTTAGACTTCTAAGCCCGCCTCCGCCCCATTTTTTGGCTTGTCAATAGCCATATTATCCCTGTGTGGGTCCACTTTGCTCCTGTGCTTCCCATATCTTTCATCTCTTTTGCTCGTCTGACACTTTCTCATTGCTATCTAAATCTCCATCTTTAGTCGTACTACCCCGTCTTTGGAGTACGTTTAATTTTGTTGTTGTTATTTCAAAGTTATTTCAAATAAAATAATTGAAAGATATTAGAAAATTATTTTAAAATGATGAGATCTTAATTTTAGCACTTGAATCTATTAAAAAACGTTTCTTGTCCAAAAACTTAGCTTTATATTTATGAAGTATATATTAGCTTTATATATGTGTTAGTCTCCAATTTTGATAGATTTTGATGATGCCACTATACTAAACAAATGTACATTGAGTCTTATTTTCAGAAGTAACATTTAAATTTAAAACATAAGTGACAAAAATAAATGTACAATCTTTAAGATTAATGATATATTACCGGATACATAAAAATGCAATAAGGTAACTCTTTACCTTCATAGGATATTTAAATCCTACCGGCATATATCATTTTACTCAAAGATTAAATATGGGTCACATTTGAGATGCTCGAATACATTGAATATTGATTGGAAGACAAAAGTTGACCGGCATTAAATACACGGTCCTACAGCATGGGAGGACTTCTTGGAGTGAAGCTGCAGCGGCTGAAAACTCACCCATACCGCAGCCCAATCATTCAAGACAGAAAACAAAAAGATTAAAAGCTCCCGCACAAGAAGACAAATGTACAATTCGTCCTTGCCAGACCCTCAACGCACAAAGATTAATCCATCTCAACCAACGGATGAGATTGATCAACCATGAAGACCTATAAATATAGGTAGAAGCATGAGTTCATAAATAAGCTTGAGCATCCTAAGTAGAGAAATACTTTCATCAAAGCATATACGAGCTATCTAGCAAAAGAGAAAGTGCAAACTCAACTTTACTCTCTGCTTAGCCTCATGCTTCACTAAGCTCTTAGATTAGATCAACACTTTCACATTTTTAGAGCTTAGTTCATAGTTGGAGGTTAGAACTTTCTTGTAACATTTCACAAGTGGTTGTAAACACTTAGGAGAACAGTTGTTCGGATCCTAAAGTGTAGTTAGATAGATAGAGTACCTTTTGATCCCCACTGGATCAATCGAGAAAAGTCTAAGGACTGAGTAACTTTGAGTGGTGTTATACTCATTGTGAAAAACCTTCAATCTAGGCCTAAGTGTTGTAAAGGCTAGATTGGCACTAAGTGTATTGGTCTTAATACTTTAGTGGAAATCCATCTGAAATAGGGTGGGACTGGATGTAGGAGGATTACACCACCTCTGAACCAGGATACATCGTGTGTTGATTCTCCTTTACTCAACAGAACACACACCCAACACTTCTCACTAAAGGGATCGTAGTTTGCCAGCAGCATCCTAAGCAGTCGTCTTAATTGACTCTACTGCTTATCCTACTGCTTAATAACTCACTTTTCCTTGAGACATCTGTTTCCCACAAGCTTTGAATATCACTACTAAAAGGTGTGGTTGGTCAGTCCTCAAAGATACCTCTTTATAAGCAGCAGACGGCTTAGCAGTTTTCTGGGATTACCCAACTGCTCAGTCCACTGCTCAGGCAAAACTCTTTACTATCTTCAGCTCAACACATATTCAGTAAGCCCTCATCATTTTCTACAAGGCCATATTATCATCTTTCTCAAACTCCTATTTTCCACTAGCAGTTGCCTCAGCAGTTCCCTGCCATCTAGGCAACTGCCAAGCCAACTGCTCACTGTTTAAAGTCCAAACATCATTCAAGCTAGAAAGTTGTCACACACTCATTACAAAAAGGGTAAAGACTTCCGCTGTGCATCTATTAATCTCTCAAAAGATTATAGATCAACTTTTCTAGAGGGAAAACTTCATAAAGTTTAAAAAGATTTAAAAGTCTATTCACCCCCCCCCCCCCTCTAGACTTTTACCCTATCCGGGACCATCAATATGCAATAATGTTGTAATATGAAAGATCATATAAATTATGAGTTTTCATTTGTTTTTATACAACTTGAAGTACAAATAAAAAGTTATGACACTTTAAAGAAGAGTGGTATTCATATCATAAATTGGACGCACTTTTACCTTTGGCACCTCCAAATACACAAAATATTCAAAGAATCACATGTGACCCATTTAGACTAAAGGGTCAAATAGGCTCTTGAACTGACTTAAAATGTTCAATTAGCCCCTTATATAGGAGGTTCTGCCCTCCTATACAAGGGAGTCACATATGATTCCTTAAAATCATTCCCAAATACCAGGGTTTTAAGGTTTTTTGGAGTGGAAAGTTCAATCTAATCTTTTCACTCTAGGGTAGTGGTCAGCCTTAGTGTTCAAACACCTTGTTACTTGTGTGATGATGATTTTAATTTTTATATATTATTCTCAAACTAAATAAAATTAAAATATAATTAACTACAACTTAGTATACTAGAATAAAAGTTAATTATTTAATAAATAAATAAATAAATAAATAAATATAATGAATGAACATAAAATAACGAGAAAATAAATATAATTAATACCAAGTATAATTAACCTGTAAACAACTAATAATATGTATTTTGAAATAATTTTTAATAATATCAATTATTTGAACATATTATAATTAGAATAATATGTAGGTGCTTTCCAACTAGAAAGTCAGCTATCTAAGAGATAACCGATATCAAACCATCAAATAAAGGTTATTTGAAAGTATTATTACTTAATATAATTAAATGAGTTTTTGATGAGTTAAATGATTAAATTTCTAAAGGGAAATGGCTGTGTTTCGCTTTTGTTACATAATTAATGATCAAATAGTTACGTTGATATTATTAAATATAATTGGGAAAATAACTTTAAATAATATCAATTATCTTCCATGAATCAAGAATGATACGAACTTTGGAAATAAATTTCAATAAGATCAACTATTTGAATATATACATCAAAAGTGATATATAGCAAATTTTCACTAGTTATTTAACTCATCAAAAACTAATATCAAAATATGAAATAATTGACTGTATTTCCAAATATCCAATATTTGATGATTTGATATTAATTTTGATGTCTTAAATGATTGGATTTCTGGTAGCTAGAAAAGTGACTCTATTTTATTTTTGATTACATTAGATAATTGATATTATTAAAAGTTATTTCTAAATATGTGTTATTCCATGAAAGATAGTTGGTATTATTAATTAAAGTTATTTTTTTTGTAAAGTACAATTTTATAAAAAAAAAACCTATAAAGTTTACGAGTGATAGGTTTGGTACTCTATACTCCGTATTGTTTACGAGTGATAGTTGGTACTCTATACTCCTATTGTTTATTAGGAGTAGTTATTTTTTTCTAAAATAACCCATTACACATATATTTTCAACAGTGTCGAGTATTAATTTTCTTTCACTAAATGGTTCAAAATTACATCCTCAATTAATTTTCTTTCCGTGTGAAGTTGGTAGTCAATATATGAACATTTGACTTATAATGAAAGCCATCGGTCAAATACCACTAGTATACCAACTCCCATGTTTGACTTATGCCATACTCTCATACGGAGTAATTTATTATCATCCACAAAACTTGTGGGTCTTTATCAGTTATCACTGCACTTATTTCCGCTAACAAATTTCATTATTGGAATCTAAAAAGTACCGAATATGTCTGAAGATATTTTTTATTAATGATGATTTGGAAAGCAGCTAAAAAGTTAAGTTGGCAATAGAGCCAAAACAAAGAGAACAAATCACGCACTCCACGATTCTACAGATATATGTCAAAAACATATGCCAATATATTTTCACGTTTTTTGTGGAGATCAGCCCCGCCTCACATCAAAATGACTTTTTATCGTCTTTTTGGACACAAAAGTTAATACTTTCGAGGTCATTTAGTGCAATTAGTGACTCATGTTTTCTAATAAGTTTTATCAATCCGCACGGATGTTTGCACTAGAGATTACGTATGGTCAAAGATGGAGCAGGACATGGAGGCATACGTGAGGACGTGTCTTGTGTGCCAACAAGACAAAACGGAGAAAAGGAAGGAAGCAGGTTTGCTTCAACCTTTGCCAATCCCGAGTAGGCCTTGGCAATCTGTTTCTATGGATTTTATTTCAGGTTTTCCTAAAGTTGGTGGCATGTCAACCATTTTGGTGATCGTGGACCGATTTTCCAAGTATGGTGTGTTCGTGGCTGCTCCGGATTCCTGTCCGGCTGAAGTAACGGCGGAGCTGTTCTTCAAAAATGTAGTGAAGCCTTTTGGTTTACCGGAAGATATCATCAGTGATCGGGATTCAAGGTTCACTGGAAGGTTTTGGACTGCCCTGTTCAAGATCCTTGGCAGTGATTTGAAGTTCTCCATTGCGTATCATCCGCAAACCGAAGGGCAGACGGAGAGGATGAATGCATTGCTCGAGGAATACCTGAGGCACTATGTGACTGCAAGTCAAAAGAACTGGCTTGAGTTGCTGGATGTAGCGCATTTTTGCTACAATCTTCATCAAACAAGTACGACTGGAATGACTCCGTTCGAGTCGGCTCTCGGATTTCAGCCCTTGGCGCCTCACCAAGTGATGGCAAGGGTAGGAGGGCAGTATCCAGCGGCGGTACGTTTTGCAAGGGATAAGCAAGAGCTGATTGAGGAGGCCCGAGATAGTCTTGCGTTGGCCCAAGCAAGGATGAAGAGACAAGTTGACCAGCGGAGAAGAGATGTTCAGTTCCAAGTCGGGGACTTGGTAATGCTGAAATTAACTCCACAGATTTGGAAGAAGATCAGTACTAAATCTGTTCACCGTGGCTTGATTCCGAAATATGATGGTCCCTTTGAAGTCATGCATAAAGTGGGTGAAGTGGCTTATCGGTTGAAGCTATCAGAGAGATTGAAGATCCATCCTACTTTTCATGTAAGCTTCTTGAAACGATTCAATCAAGAGGAGTTTGATGCTTCGAGGCAGCAAGCAAAGAGAGCCCCTCCGACGATTCGAAGTCAGTTTGAGAAGGCTGTGGAGAAGATCTGAGATCATTCTATTAAAGGACAAAGCAAGAAGAACCGGCGCACAGAGTACCTTGTCCAGTGGGAAGGTGACTCTAAGGCAGATGCTGTTTGGGTGAAAGACATCAACTTATGGCAGTTTGAAGACAAGATCGAGGAGTACTGGCGGAGCCGGGATGGAGCTTCGCAGCCTCCGACGAGGACGTCGGATTCTCCTGGTGGGGGAGGTTTGTTAGACCCCTAAGTTCTGAGCGTCTTTGGCAGGTCAAGTTAGCCTTGGCTTGACCGCGGCATTGGGTATGGCATAACGGTTGTCCCTTAGTTCGATGGCATCGGGTGTTGATTGACCGCGACATGCAAGGCAGGGCCTTGGGCAAGCGTGGGGCAAGACAACGGAGATGGCTTTGAGGAGCTAAGGCAAGTGAAAGTTAGCTCGTGGGTGGCTTGGTTTAGGCCGCGACATGGAAGCTAGCATGAGTGGTCGCGATGTTTCGGGTTTACACCGCGGCATGAATCAAGGCTGAAGGCGGTTGACGGTTATGGGGCGAACAGACGCGACGGTTCGGGTTTACGCCGCGGCATGAAGTGGACGGATGCACAAAGGGGTGAACCGGTGGCATTGGTTGTGCGGCTTCAACTGTTGCCCAACGAAGAGACGCGTCCTTTAGCTATGGCAGTTGGCTTGTAACTGTCAGACCGGGCCGGTCTATAAATTGCGCCGCGGCATAACCACGAGTTTTGTAGGCAAGAGTGCGTGGCATTGGTTGTAGAGTCCTTTGTATTATTTTGTGAGATTAATACAAGGTTGGTCGTTGACCGTAAAGTGTTTGGGTGCCTTGAATATATTCTAAGTGTTCTAAGTGTCCCTAAACCTAAGTGAAACAGGTTTGTGAGTTAGGCTGACTATCTTAAGGGTTAAGATAGGCCGTACACGAGCGAAAATTCTAAGTCCAGAATTTCCCTGTGTAACAATTGGTAGATTAAAGTTGCTTTTCTAGTTGAAGTGATTGAAGTAAGGGATGAATTTGGTCGGGATTGGGCCGGACTTGGGGACGAAACGAGATTGGGCAGGCTTTGGTTTTAAAGATTTCAGGTCCGGTACCTGCTCGGGTTTGTACCGTTACCGGGTTGGGTCAGGCCCAAACAGTACCGGACTCGGCCAAGCCCAAAAATTGATGCAGCCGGGCCTTGACCGAGCCCAAAATATCGAACCCAAAGCCCGCCCTTATACCCAACGGTCTGGGCCTAAACAGTACCAGGCCCGGATCGTACCGACCCGTCCCAGTCCATCCCTAGCCGAAGTTACTGTAAACTTTTGAACTATTGTTCATGTAATTTTTTATTTTTTTTAATAATAGATTATATTTTTATATATGTTTTCATAAATCAACAAATTCAGACAATTCAGTTGTTTTAGCCGCAACTAAATCATTTTTCATGAAGATTAGCTGATTCAATCAATTTGAGTGCTGTCGGCCGAACAAGTCTTACTATTTTGAAAAAAAGAGCATGTCATCAATTAAACTATCAGAAACTAAAATAAAAAATCATATGGCCAGAACTCAGAAGGGGTGATTTTTATATGTGTTATAATTACTAGTTTGGATATCGTATATTACCTCTATAGTTTATGTTAGTTTTGAAAATATGAGGCAACCTTTTGATTGTAAGAAACATGTCAAAAATAAGACCACATAACATTTAAAGAAAGACAAATCACAATAAACCTTTTGATTTATAACAAAAAAAAGGGCTTTTGACTTGAATATTAGTAATAAAAGACCAATTGACACAAAAGTGACCGTTTTTAAAAAAAATCAGTAATGTGACTAGTAATTAATAATTGTACCTATTTACCCACTTTCTATAGTGATATGCTACAACGAACGCTATAGTGACATGAGATATAGTGACATCCATCATCACCTTCCACAACCTCCCACCGGTAACCGCCGCCGGCCGGAGACCGTCGACATAGTGACATTGCCACAGTGATACCGTCATAGTGACGCCGCCACAGTGACACTGTCATAGAGATGCTGCCACAGTTACGCAGCCACAATTACGCTGCCATAATGACCTGCTGCTGCCGGCCATTGCAGTTACATCTCGGTAGTAATACCAATTACTCCGACCAAAGCGATTCCCGCCACCACCAATCACCACCACCAGACGTCCCACCACCAGAAAACCCCCATCCCAACGCCCACCACCGGAAAACCCCCATCCCAACGCCCCACCACCGGAAACCCCTCATCCCAGTGCCCCACCACCGGAAAACCCCCATCCCAACTCCCACCACCGGAAAACCCACATCCCAACGCCCCATCACCGGAAAACCCTCATCCCAACACCCCAGCATCGGAAAACCCACATCCGCTGCCTTGTCGCCCCCTCTAGCCACGACAATCCAACAGATCTGGTCGAATACAAGCTCTAGTACACGATGGAGCTGGCCGAAACATGAGCTCTCTCTCACCGCTGTGCGCCAACGCCGCTTTCTCTCATAGACAACGTTCGTAGAGGAGATGAAGATGGAGATCGAAGCAGAACTCGACCGATGGAGATGGGCTGCGTGTCCGCAGGGCGCCAACGGCGGGAAGAGTGATAGCAGGGCGAGCAATGACGGTGACTCCTCATCTGCCATGGAAATAGAGCTCGACCAAAGGGCTGAACTGCTGAAGATTGGAGTGAAGACTGCGTGCGATATCTATGGGCCAAAGCAGATGTATTAGATTGGGTTATTTTAGTCCATTTAATTTGAAATGGTAAAGGATGGTGAAATGTTTCGGAAGAAGGAAGGAGAGCTTGCTTACTTTTTTGGGAAAATATAAAGTGGTCATATTTTTGTAATTGGAAACTTAGGAAGTAATATTGGTGCCATTGTTTCACAAAAAAAACGTACCGAGTAGTATTTTCCAATTTTCTTAAAACGAAGTACTGTTTCGTTCCCTAACATTAACTATTGTTTCTACAATATATGCTATTTCCAATAAGTAATACAGATTTAATTGACTGACAGCATAAAATGGTAAACCCTATAAATTTGAATATTGAACTCTATTCACAAAATACAAAGAACTTGAAGCAAAATACACTGATAGTGTATATAACCATTATTGAATCTAAATATCTAATGGGAACGCAAATTTTCCCCTTGCTGTTAAGATATAAATCAAGAAAGAAATGCTCTTTCCTCAGAAATTGCCTTTGCCAATTAGCCACAACCAATCAAGAGCCACTCCAGAAAATATGCCAGCAAGAAGGCATAGAACAAGAATATTCCCCAATGCATTTGCCTCTGGTCCCTATAGAGGAACAAGGATATAAAAAAGTTTCAATCTTTAAAGAACTGGAAAGAATAATTATCACCACCAGGTCACCAACAAAAACAATCTTATGAAGACTATTATTCAGAACAATCAAAACCAACCTTGTAACCTTTAGGAGCAGTAGTGAGGACACAAACTGTGAGATGACCATTTGTTAATCCTAGGAAAGATACAAGCGCTATCATCCATCCCTGATCACCATACTTAGCAGTGAAATAGAAACACGGGATCAGCAAGAAACGTGACAATATTGATATCATTAGTCCCTTTCGCGATTTTAACGCAATTTTCTTGATCATTGGAGTGTATCTTGATATGAGGTCCCACACGTTATACATAGCTATCAGAACAAGAGGATACCTACAAAAAGAGATGTGTTAAGAATAAAGTTGTATATATGACTTGACACGCTTATTAAGACGTTCGACTGAACATGGAACTGTGTGGTTGAGATTGGGGTTGAAGTGCTTCAAATTTTAACATCCTTATATTCTTTTCAATAATAGAACAAATGAATATTATCTTTGGACAGACTGTAAAGGAACACAATAAGATAAATTCACGACTGAATCGAAAGGAATGTGATTCCTCTTTACCATGATCCAAGCTTGTGTGTTCCAGTATTCTCATATAAAAATCCAGGGAAAATGGATAAAGTCAGAACGTATATGAGGTAGAGGTCTAGTCCATAATCAATGTTTTTCAAGAACAACTCCTTGTTGCTCAGCCTCTGCACTTGTTTGGTATCATCAGCCTGTACACATTATTATAAAAGTTAAAATAAAAACTCTAGCAAATTAAAGGCCCATTTGGTAAGAGAATTATTCGGCTAAGAAGGTTGAATCTGCTGAACTTTCCGAAAAGATAAAAAGTTTGATAACATCCCCTTTGGTAAAAGAATTATTCGGCTAAGAAGGTTGAATCTGCTGAACTTTTCGAAAAGATAAAAAGTCTGATAACATCCCCTTTGACCAAATAAGTCAACAGTTAACTATTCTGGTCATAAAATAATAAGTCAGGCATAGCTGCCAAATGAAACGTGAGAGGGGAATGGGGTCACTTACTGCATTTGTTTGAATGCCCGCGGCAGCTAAATCAGCAGCAACAGTTTTTAATCCCTCAGAAGCAGCCTTTGAGCGATAGTACTTCACAATAGGTAATTTTGGGAAGACAAGTCCATAGAGAATGATGCATATGAATTCAAAGAACGTGGAGATCGCCAGAAACAGAACTGCAGAAGACATTAGCATAAACCCAACGGTTTAATCTAAGATTCATACCTAACGGTTTAATCTAAGATTGTGCAATAGCAGGATCAAAGTGAAACTTACTAACTCCTTTCCGGAGACCATTGTTGGAGCCTTCGAAAGCAGCTTTCGTCACCAACCTCAGGACAGAAGTAAGCGCTCCCGAGGCAGCTAAACCCGCTAAGTATGACTAATAACCAAAAGAATGTTTGAGAAATCTAAAAAACTCCATAACAACTACGAAGTATAACAAATACGGAGTACGATAAAAATAATAATACCTGGAGGAATTCAGGGCACATGAGAGAAAGGTCTCCAACAAGTCCACCCTGAACAAGGGCATCAGCAACTCCAAAGAATGCAACAAGAACACAAATCCCCATGAAGTTTCCAATTCCACCCTTCCCGGACGTGCCTAAATCCAACTGCATCAATTTGAATGAACTACATGTTGATATGGTCTTAAAAAACCCAGCAAAACATTGAGAATGGAATGACAGATTTAACAGTGAATATATACCATTAGGAGTGAAAAGGTGGCCAGACTGAACAGGGTATACCCTGCTAAATTTCTGATCCTGGTATTGATCTTTTCATCTTTATATGCAAGTATTGCCATAGTTCCAATTGCAAAAGGTTGATAAACCAGGGTAAGCACCCTTGATGGATGATAGTCCTGAATAAACACAAAAAAATTCAAATTAACACTCCTTTTTCACACTATCTTATTAACCATAAGTAAATTTGGACACCCATTAATTCATTAAAGATGGAGAGATTCTCACAGGGAATAACTGATAATAGTAATCTCCTATGGTGAGCATGCTATTCCAAGCCACAAGAGAACCAAGCCCGAGAAAGAAGCATACTGTAGTTCCTATCGGTTTCCCCTGAAATTCGAAAACCCTTTTGATTATTTTCAGATGAAATTATATCAAACATTCACAAAAGGAAGAAAAAAAAAAGCTTTTTGAATGACAATAAAAAACAATAACCTTAAGCCTGGTCGGAGTTCCTGGCAATTCGTCAATAACAACGCTAGTCATGTCTGCGTAATCGTTCTGAATTCTGTAATAAGAACAATTCGCTACTCCTATAAATTGTTTCTATGATTCGAAAGATGGGAATCTCATAACAATAATTAGATGTGAAAAGGAGAAGAAATTCGCCTGCTTCCAGTATGGGTTGGGCGGGCGTTATGCGTTGACAGCGAAGTGTGAATAAAAGGAAGAATCTTTGTGTGCTAATTAGAAATCAGATTCTCGAGAATCTCTTGAGGATCATTGACGATTAAAATTTCTTTATTTACTTGAGACGAACTGATTAGCGCTAAATACTCTGTAAATATTTGCGCGAGTCTCCCGTTCCTGCTAGAGAGTGAGAGTATGAAGTAGTCTGGG